TATGTAAGCACTAGTTGGATGAATAGTTATTACATTTTAATAGAAGTGTTATGCAGTAGAGTGCTTTGGGAAAAATCTCATGGGTTTTGTAGCTGTTGATCATTTTTTTATTTTCTATATTTTATGATTTTTTGACATCGTGACTCCTTTCAGACCCAGGGAGGGACTGCCCCTCCAAGGGTTAGCTAATTCCTAAACATAGTGAATGACTTGCCTTCTACCATGCCTCTGAAATGCAAACCAACCAATCCCAAGTTCATGCCCCCACCTGCCTCCTTTCATCAGGCTTGTGCAGTATCCAGGACACTGTCCCCCTGCCCTAATCACCCCAGGGCCGGGTACTGGACAACTAGAGCCCAGTCCTATAGACCAGAGCCTGCTGAAATTATTCCAGTTCTAAACCTGCTCAGTTGCTTACCCTGCCTCGCCCATTTCTTCCCTTGAAAACCACAATAAAGGCTTTTGCTCAGACTTTCCCCTCACCCCTTCTGCCATCTGACCAACCCTGGTGCTTCCTCTTGCAGCCGTCTGTGACATGGCATGCCACTTCCTCTTGAAAACTGTGAATAACACTCTTCTTTTGAAGCCTGTCTCCATGTCCGTCATCTTATCATACGTGTTTAGAAAAAATCCCGGGTACCTCTCAAAACAGGAGCCAGATAGGTTTGAGTTCCAGCTGGGCTCTGTCATTTACCCATCAGGTGACCCTGGGAATATTACTTATCCTCTGCCAGCTTCAGTGTCCTTATCTTTTGTTTTTGCGGTACGCGGGCCTCTCACTGTTGTGGCCTCTCCCGTTGCGGAGCACAGGCTCTGGACGTGCAGGCTCAGCGGCCACGGCTCACGGGCCCAGCCGCTCCGCGGCATGTGGGATCCTCCCGGACCGGGGCACGAACCCGTGTCCCCTGCATCGGCAGGCGGACTCTCAACCACTGCGATACCAGGGAAGCCCCAATGTCCCTATCTTTAAAACCCGTGAAAAGATTCCTATATCATAGAACTGCCATAAGGACTGATGATAATATGCATAAAAGAAGGTCATACTGAAGAAGTAGTAGCTGTATGGTCCAGGAGGTGAGAAAATCAGGGAATAAAAGTCCCCTTTAGGCTCAGAAGTAAACAAATACAATTCATGGATAGATACCTTTCAAGTTTATATATCTTTCCTAATGTTCAGTTACTAGCAGCAGGAAATCGGGAGATATTTTATGTATTGCTATTTTTGTTCCCCAGTTCAAAAAAAAATTTTCCCCCCATGTTAAGTTATGGCTGCTGTTCCTGTTAAGGAAATAAAATGTGATAATTAATCTTTTTAACAAGAGAATTAGAGGAAGCATAGTTTATCATTGCTTTTCCTCAGCTCAAGTGTCTTTTTGTTATGCTATACCTACCTCTGCTAATTACCTGAGATAGATAAACAAATTTATCAAGAAACAAGGCACAGAGAAAAGAGGTTGGAATTTGAAACCCCTCAGGCCTTAAGACAAATACCTGCTATGTGACCTTGGGCAAATCACTTACTAGCTCCAAACTTGAGTTTCCTCATCTGCAAAAGGACACAGAACACCTAGCTAAGAAAGATGTTTAAAAATATCAGATAAAAAAAAAATCAGATATAATGTAAGTAATGAGTCCCTTTAGTGCAAGGCCTGGGACTTGAACCTTCCCTAATCTGATGGACCTGCCAACGAATAACAGAGCCCTGCCACAGCTCCCACCTCTGAGTTTTCAGCATTTAGCTTCTCTCTCCCTCTTTTCCCTTCACTCCCTCCCTCCTCCTTCCAGGGGATGGATGAGTACATTTTTCAGGATTTGAATCATTTCCTTCCTTCTCACTGAAATTGTGGCCCACATGGGATTTTACTGACAGAAACAGAAGACCCCAAACATCCAAGTAATGACCAGATGCACTCATGTTTAGCATAGACTCGTTTTCAGTTGTCCTCCCGGCCACTGGAGTTGGGCTGAGATTGCAGGAATCACTTATCTGTGGATAAACAATCTCACCTGTGAGTCCTGCAGGAAGAGACGTAAATGCCCAAGCAAGTCCCCTCTTGGGGTGGGGTTTGGCCTATCTGGAAGTGTTCCTTTTATTCCTCAAGCTGTCCATTCTTGCTGGTCCTCCTTCTGGAAGTCTTCCCAAGTCTACCACCCAGAGATTTCTATTTCTTTGGACATTTAGTGACCTTTAGTGTTCTGTAACTAAGTTGCCAAGGCTTTTGGAAGTTTTCCTGCCCAAGCCCCGTTTCCCAGTCTGGAATCTCTGGCATGGCTTCTTCATCTTCCCTCACAGGCCTTGCACAGGACCATGCGCCTGAGAAAAGCTCAAGAAACTTCTGTTGATTCATTCATTGATTTCAGTTAAGGCTCCTGATAGCCCTGGAGCTTCTTAATTGAAACGGGTGGATGCAGACCAGACTATTAACAGACTTACCTGCATAGTGACTTTAAATTTAACTCATTTTTACAGCTATTGAGAAATTATAAAAGTTTTTTGACAATGCCCACCCCTTTTTGTACCAGAACAATGACTTTTCACTTCAAGACACATTAAGTAATATGCTGTAGTTTCAGTAGCACAGTTTCAGGCAAAGACACATCGACCAATTTCCTTGACGCAATAGCTTGTATTTAGAGAATATCAAATGGAACGATTTTGAGAAGCAGGTCAAGTGTGGATGACCATTTTGCTTTGTGTATGTGTGCCGTGGGGGTGGTCTGAAGAGGCAGCATCTTTTGTTGCTCATTAGTCCAGGGATTGGTAAACTTTTCTGGAAAGGGCCAGAGAGTAAATATTCTAAGCTTCACATACTATCTGTGTCATAAAACTACTCAACTTTGACTTTGTAGCATGGAAGCAATCATAGATGATACATTAACAAATGGGCATGACTTTGTTCCAATAAAACTTTATTTACAAAAACAGCCAGTGGGCCACGTGCCCTAGTTTGCAGATCCCTGCTTTTGTCTCTTGTGAGCACTCTAATTCTCTGTGCTTTGAACTTCTTTATTTTGCTCTAAAGGGTTTTTTCTGTGTTGCAACTTTATTTTTAAGTGCAGTTTGAGCACAAAATAATCGTCATCTCTGAAAAGGTTGAAAAATTAATGCAGAAAATGGCACAGAATGAGGAATGCACTTGATGGTGAATGATTCACCTGCACCCTTTCTTCTACCAATCCCCACCCACTCTCAAGTCTTCCTCAGTCCTTTGGTGAGTTAAACCTTCATTACATTAGGTGAACATACTGTATTTTTGACATTTTGAAATAGACTTATTTTCATTGTTCAAGTAATACATTTTTCCATCTGCACTTGCATATCTTTGTCTGGGATGGAATGCATCCTAATTTTCCTGTTACAACTAATGGAAGTATTTTTTGGTTTAAAGGCTTTTCACTTAGCAGTTGAGTGTTCAATAATAAATTCACAAGGTTAAGTGATGGATGGGTGTGCTTCAGGGTAAGTCTCAACTGCCCTCGTCTCTGGGGAAACTGCCAGTCCAAGGTTTCCAGCCAGCAACCCACGATCACCACTGCATGTTAGTCTGGACCTGGAAAGGTGTGAGGAGATTTGAAGAAGGAAAGAGGGAAGAAGTGGGTCCTGGTGTCATGCTTATGTGGATGTCCTCTCCCCTGTGCACAGCGTATGGCAGTGATCCCCCTTGCTATTCCATTTCCTGCTTTTCCTGTGTCACCTGAGGCCAGTCCTTGGGCCTCAGTTTTCTTAGGAGCAAAACAGAGATAAAAATACCTTTGCTAGCAAGTATATAGGTTTACCATGAGGTTAAAATGGGCTATGAAAGTGCTCTACCCGTGTGAAGTATCATTATCATCTGAGCATTTAGAAGGAATTAGGAGGCTGAGAGACCCCCAGACACTAGCATCTGAGGTTCCTGAAATTGCTTTTTAAGCGTAAGTGGCTGAGGGTAACTTGTGTAATTTCATTGCTCCTATTTCTCCCTTCACTGTGTGGACCATGAACTGTGGATGATGGCCTGCAGCACTGAACTTGATGGATGTGATTCCTGACCTCATGGAGCTCACAGTCTAAGAAGTAGTATGGAGTCAAGTCCAAAAACTCTTGGGAGGATCCCATCCTAGAAGCCAAAGGCCTGCTAGGATGTGTTATTGGAACATACCATGATGTCATAATTTGGACAAAGGCTTATTCTTTCTGGTTTGGGGGCAACATGAAATGAGCGGAAAGTAAGGTAGGGTGTGTTACAGGACTGTGAACGTGAGCCCGTGTTACATTGGACTCCTCGGTGTCTGCTGAGGCCTGGTGTGATGCCTCCCACGGCCAAAGGCAGAAGTTTTGCATGAGAAAAGTGCTCTCCTGGTTTCTAGATGTAGCTGAATTCTCCAGCTCCACTCCCACTGTCCTGTGACCTCCAGCAAAACAAAAACAGGTAGGTGGCAATTGTGCTGTGAATTAATGATATCTATATCACTGGATCATAAAATCGATATCATTTTAATAACACTGAAATATCAGATGCCCCGTGAAGAAAGCAGATTTTTATAATTTAAATTGTTAGTATCAATATAATTCAAGAAGTCAAAGACCCAGTCATTAACCAGTCTTTCCAGTGAGACGGATCACCTCTGAATTTATCCTGGGGAATCTGCCGAGACCGGGGCTTGATGAAAACATGAAAACGTACTAACCAATGGTGGGGCTGGAGGACACAATACACGGGTGCACTTTTCATTAAAACATGCAGGGAAAAACCCTTTTGCCATATCTTTTGTGCTGGCTAATAAGCTTAATTCGAACACTTACTCGCCTTTTGTACAATTCGTAGCACCACGGAAAGGAAGTGCTTTTCCTTCTTCCTTAAAAAAAGTTCCAGTCCAAACCATCAGCCTCTGTATGTGTCTTAATTACTACTTTGCACTGCACTGGGCTACGACTCTGATTTTTGGCACATGCTGTCATACACAAACTTCCTAAAATAAAATGCTCCAGGATATCCCAGGAACTCTTAGAAGGCTTTAAAAAGGGACTCGCACACTGAAAGAATATCTTTGATGAAGACAGTTCAGGCAAGCAGAATGATTATTGCCAAAGAAGTATGTGATTCTTTGAGATCTTGAAGTGGGTCGGAAGAATCCTTGCCACCTAACTTATCATGGTTTGGGGGAGTTTGACAAGAATCCAGTTTTGATAAAGACAATCGTTTTTTCCTCCCCAAGTGACTATACATTTAAATAGCTAAAACATCTGTTCAGTAACATAGTAAAACATATACACTCGGAACGCCTGAGAGAAGAGCCTGCCAAACGATCGGTTGAGAGGGGCAGCACCCTCTTGCTGGGGGGAGAGCACCAAGATAAAGCAACCACTGTTTGTTTTGTCTGGTCAGGGGGAAAGCCAAGGCGACCAATATTTTTGGGTTTCTTTTATTTCATTTGTGAAGAAGTATTTGAGAAAGGGTGGCGAGAGGACATATCCTGACGGGCTTTTTTTTAACCTGTCCATTAGTAGAAGAGCATGAGAACCTTGGATGTCAACGCCTAACAGACTCTTGAGACCAGCCACCAAGCCACAAAAAGCGACTTTCTTCTTGCCTGGCCCTTACATCTCTCCCAATGGATGCAGAGACAGGGAGCAGCGTGGAGAGTGGGAAGACGACCAACAGAGGCACTCGAATTGCCCTGGCCGTGTTCGTTGGTGGCACCCTGGTGCTGGGCACGGTCCTCTTTCTAGGTAAGTGGAACTGGGCTAGTGCAGTGGCTTCCTTGTGCTGTATTCTGGCAAACCTGGTCAGGATGCAGGTGGAGGGCTGTTTGCTTGTGTTAGTAGGTGGTGCATCCTTACTTTCTATTAAATATGCAAATGAAAGGAAGCTTTTTCTTTAGGAGGGTAAATAAATAAAAACTCCCAAGTACCAAATGCATAGTCCAGAATGTGAAGTGGGTATAAAGTGGATTCGAGTGGCTAGAGGATTTGGTTGCATCGGGCAAACATTTTTTATGCATTACATTCAGCAAAATGAGTGTTTATGAATTCATAGTCAGATACTTTGATTTATTTTGTGAGGAAAGACTTTACATTGTGATCAAACCATGTTGGAATTTCTTTCCATTTGATTTTTGTCGGTGTTTGCCTGAATGAATCATGAAATTTAACTCACAAAGTGCAAATCAGTCTTTAAAAATGCACCGTTAATGATATTCTTCAATTCCTTTCTAACCCAGTGACTCTGGTGGAATAAAAAATTTAACTCTGCCTTTCTCTTAGATTTAAAAGCTAATATGAAGGAAATAGAGGTTTTCCTCCTAAGATTTGGAAGGTATTGTGATTCATTGATTTTAATGACTTTTGGTGAGAATGATGTACCCAGAGGGTGATGTTAAAAGCATATTCTTATGAGACAGAACAAAATAGAAAGGGGAGAGGAATGTTCTAAAATTTTAGGCATTTTGAATCTTTGACTCTTTGCCTTTGTATTTGTTTCATACGGCTCAAGTATGAAACAGTATTTCATTAGCCTGAAAGTTATGTAGGACCAAGCCCTATATTTAGGAGAGTCTAGGTGCAGTTTGAAATGTAGCAAGCCTGGGAACATACCTTGGCATATGCAGGATGCAGGAGGCCATGTTTATCTTGGCAGGGGAAAACCAGTAATTAAACTTTAAAAGAGTTAGGGTTGTGTGGTTGAAAACTCTGCTAAAACGAGCAAACCATCTTTCCATGTTTTCTGTGGCTGAAGATTTAGGAAATTAGATGGGTTTATTGCTTTCTGGTACAGCTGAACCTCCTACTCCTGCGACTGAAAGTGAGGCTCTCGAAAACTGGTGTGAGATTTCTCGGCGCTTGCGGTTTAGGCAAGTGTCCTATCCTGAAATTCAAAACTGGAGGAAAAATGATACGGGCATGTCAAGGGAGTATGTACTATGTGGGAAGTGACTACAAAGTGAGACTATTTGTGTTCTGCAAACATTCCCAAACTTGAAAATCCAAATGATTATTGTTTAGGTAAAAATACGTGCTCTTTTTAATGCCGTTACTGCTGCTTGAAGCTTTTTTGAAATTCCTCTCATGATTACATTCTGAGGCTGTAGCATATTATCAGAATGTTCTTGATGGCAGCAAATCTTTTTTTTTTTTTGGGGGGGGGCACACTGATCTTAGTTCCCTGACCAAGGATCGAACCCAGGTCCTCTGCTGTGAAAGTGTGGAGTCCTAACCACTAGGCCACTGGGGAATTCCAAATCTTTGTTCCTTGAGAGAAGATGATTCTTTGGGATCAGCTCTGAAGTTTTTAGAACACAGTAAAATTCATCAAGCCAGGCGATGCTATTATGGGTAAGGAGGCCTGCCTAAGATAGAAAAAATAACTTTCCAATGTACCCAATAACACGGCTCTCTCTCACTTAGAATCTTTAGAGAAGCTGTAATGGTGTTAGAGAGTAAGGGTGTGGCCTCCCTCAGCCTTCACTACTCAGTGCGGTCTGTGGACCAGCAGCGTTATAGCATCCCTTGGGAGCCTGAACTCCACCCCAGACCTACTGATTCAGAATCTGCATTTTCACAAGATCCCCAGGTGATTCATTTGCAAATTAAAGTTTGAGAAGTATTGCTTCAGGTGACCATGTCCTTTCGGATGAATACATTCAGAGACATTTGCTTTTAAATAAATGCACACTCTCAAGTGAAAACATAAATGATATTTTTGTCAAATGTCTCTGCACTATTTCTGACTCCCTTCCTTCCCTCCTCCCCTTTTCACTGCCTAGTTCCACAGGCTCTGCCACCCACCCCCACCCTGCACCTAGCAAAGTCCTTGTCTGAAAATCTCCTGGGACCTGCCAGACAGTGCTCTTTATGACAGTATTTTGGTTAAGGTCTTCTCTTCAAGGCACTTCCGGGTAAACTTTGTGGTATATTTTTCTGCCTATACAAGTTCAGTCACATGTCTGCAATTTCTGGCCTTCCTCCTTCCCTCTTATTTGTATTTTAGGCTCTGGGGTAATCTCTTTTTTAAAACCTTAGTCTTTATACAGTAAGAGTGATAGCCACTGGCCTTGGGGTGGTTTCAGCAAACTTAGAGCCCTAGGGTTTAAGGCCTTATATGCCTATACCCAGTTTATTTGATTGTATTTCATTTTTTTCTTTTAGATTTATTTTTTATTCAGGTAACATTGGTTTATAACATTATATAAATTTGATATGTACAATTTTTTCAGCTTTCTGGGCCATGTGCTGTCTCTGTTGTGGCTACCCGACTATGTTGTAGCACGAAAGCAACCATAAACAATATGTACACAAATGGGCATGGCTGTATTCCAGTACAACTTGATTTCTGGACATTGAAATTTAAATTTCGGATCATTTTCACATGCCACGAAATATTCTTCTTATGATTTTTTCCAACCATTAAAAAATGTAAAAAACATTCTTAGCTCACAGACCATTCAGAAAGAGGCAGTGGTATGGACTTGGCCCACAGGACATAGTTTGCTGACCCCCACTTTATGGTCATTCTCATGCTCATGTGGATGATGTCACTGCATTCTGAAGTCATTTCTGCTGCTTATAGACTAATCTAAAATGAGAAACCAAAGCGCTCTTTAAGTTTTTTAAAAAGCCCCTAACCAGCAAAAAGTAACATTTTCATTTTTTGTATTAGAAATAATTTTTTGTTGTCTCTGTTTTATTCACTTAAACCTTCACATTGTCTGGGCTTGTTGACCCCTCTTAATTTACAGGGTCTTAAGATAACGCCCCCCATGGAAATGATGCTCTTCCTTCAGAGACTGGGTTTGTCTGTGTCCTAATTAATTTAACTTAAACTTTTCTTTTACTCATCATCAGGTAAAGATATTTGATTTTAGTTTTGCTTCCTTAGAGGTTTTCGGTCAATAATTATTTTCCATGAAAGAAATAACTCCTTAAAACTTTAAAAAATGAGATATAATTTACATATAACATTATTATATTGGTTTCAGGTGTACAACATAATGATTCAATACTTGTATATATTGAGAAATGATCACCATGATAAGTCTAGTTAACATCTATCACCTCACAGTTACGTATTTTTTTCTTGTGATGAGAACTTTTAAGATCTACTCTCTTATCAACTTCGAAATATACAATGGAGTATTACTAACCATAGTCACCAGGCTGTATGTTACATCCCCATGACCTATTTATTTTATAACTGGAAGTTTGTATCTTGAAAGGAATGTCTTTAACTATTTTATTATCTTTTTTCTAAAATAAGACAAGGCTAGTATCAAGAAGGTATTGTCCACAATCATAAAATATTATTATTTACAATAAAGTTTGTTTTTCCACTGAAAAAGAAGACACATGCTCCTTAAAGAACATTTGGTAACCATATAGAAGTAGACTGAAGGGAAAATTTACTCCATGGTTCTACCACCAAGGCATACTGAAATATTCCATACTAATCTTTATGTTCCACATATATTTTTTTTACATTTTTTTTGCTTTCTAAAGAAATCAAAAATATAACTTTACGACAAGATACTTCTTTTCTTAAAAATAGGCCTGAGAGGGCTTCCCTGGTGGCGCAGTGGTTGGGAGTCCGCCTGCTCGATGCAGGGGACGCGGGTTCGTGCCCCGGTCCGGGAAGATCCCACATGCCACGGAGCGGCTGGGCCCGTGAGCCATGGCCACTGAGGCTGCGCGTCCGGAGCCTGTGCTCCGCAATGGGAGAGGCCACAGCGGTGAGAGGCCCGCGTACCGCAAGAAAAACAAACAAAAAACAACAAAAAAATAGGCCTGAGATGTTTGCTCCATAGACAGCTTTCTTGAGTCTCTAATGTAACACAGGTAAAAAGACTGTTTGGAGGATGAGTGTCACATTTCCAAATGATTCCTTATTTCTGCTCACAGAGTACAGCAATAATGAATTCTCCACAATTTCCTTGGCTACCACAAATATTTTCAAAGTCTAAACTCACATCTGCTAATGCCCAGGTGCTACCTGAAGTTTACAAATAGGGCACCGTTCTATACTTCTGCAGAAATCCATTTAGATGAAGTTACCAGGCAGATGGGGGAAATTAAGCCATTGGTGAAAAGCTACTTCTGTCTTACAGGGTTTTTGTTTGGTTTTGTTTTGGTGGAAGTAGTTGGAAGCTTGGTCCACCAAGCTGCATCTGTCTGGTAGATGCATCTGTCTGGCTGGGCCTGATGGGAGGAGGGTGTGTGGGGTACAGGGCAGGCAGATAATGACTCTGTTGATAGATGACTGAGTTATATAGGATATATTTTTACTCTTCCCCCTTTGATGGGCCGTGTCTGTATGGGTGGTTTAGATAAGACGCAGAACCTTAAATGCCACCTATGCTAGCTTTTTCCTTCCACTCTGGATTTGGTCCAAATGACACAGTCTATAAGTTTCAATTTTCCCATCACTAAAATGAGAATGTAGGTGTAAACAAAAAGTGAAATTATGAGACTTAAACCACAGATAATCAGAGATAGAAGAGACTTTAGAGATCATTTAACCCAGTGGTTCTCAAACTTGAGCCTGCATCAGAATCACCTGGAGGCCTTGTTAAACCGCAGATGGCTGGGCCCCGCCCAAAGAGTTTCTGAGTCTGAAGGTCTGGGTGTGGCTTGGTCATTTGCATTTCTAATTAGCTCCCAGGTGATGTTGCTGTGCTGCCCTTGCCCTGGGGCCCCCATTCTAAGAAGCACTGGTCTGCTTGTGCCCACTTGTCTTATGTTCAAGAGAACCAAGTTTGAGAGCAGCCAAGAGTCTCACCAAGGTTACTTAGCTAGTGACCAGAGTCTGGTTCTGTGACACTGAGCCAGGTGGAGTTTTGAATTCGGTGTGAACACAGGGAAGGATGAACTGACAGCAAATGTCTCGCATACGTGCCTGACGGTGGGTTACTTGGTGGTGGTCTGCTGCAAGCCAGTCATTTCTTTATTTTGGTCTGTTTTCTCAGTGAGTCAAGGTTTCTTAAGCCTCCAAGCTAAGCCGGAGTACTGCCTGAAGCCAGAATGCATCGAAGCTGGTAAGTCAGTTTTCCATCCTGTGTCAAGTTATGATTATGGTACCTTGGTGAGTGGAAGAGAAAACAGGCGGTATTTTTAGTATTTTGTTTGCTTGAGGTTTACCAGGTATGAATTGCAATTCTGATGAAATTTTAAGTTTTCTTTCAAGACTTGGTGTGAAGTTGTGGAATGTAGGTTTCCTGTTTTCTTTTTCCTTGCAATGAAACAGCTGTGCAGTATTCCAAATCATTATAAAGGAAATCAGGAAGGGGTGTGGAAGGCTGAATGGCCTCTCTTAAGACCTGGAGACCTTGACCTTCATATCCCCTTAGCTGGATACAGATTCCCATTTATCTCAAGTAGTCTTTCTGTATCTTCTGGTCAGTGGGTCTGGCCTGTCTGCGTCTAAGCAGGGACCCTCTGTAAACCGATACTTCCACTGTCACCTGGAATCTCTTTGGGTCCTTCTATTTCACGTTACAAGTCAAATTTTTCTTGAGGTGACAGGCTGTGTATCAGTGGGTACCGCAAAGTGAAGACGAGCGGTTAAAGTTGCCTCAGTTTTGCAACATCTATCAGTTTTGCCCTCCATAAACCAGTGTTAGGGCCTAGAGTTGCAGGACCTGGATCCCAGCCCCACTCCCATTTTTAAGTGGCCAGGGACACTGGTGTGCGTTTTCCAAGGGGAAAGTGATGGGATAAGTTAAGCACATGGTCCTTTCACTTTCCTCTTGGCCTTAAGAGAAGAGATTAATGAATTATTGCACCAAATATTTATTGCACTCCAGGCACTGAGTTAGGTTCTAGGAATATAGCAGTGAGGCCGAATGACCAGGTAAGGGAAGAAAGACAACAAACACCCAAGGCAATTAATGGACAAGAAAAATATCAGCTGGTGGTACATGTTATGCAGAAAATTTAAAAAAATAGAATAATGTGGTGGCAAGTGACAGGATGGCTAGATTGCAAAGTCTGAGGAAATGACATTGAAGGGGCCCTTTGAATAATGAGAAGGGAGTGCTGTGTGAAGATGGAGGAAAGGGCTTTCCAGGTGGGGGGAACAGCTGGGGCAAAGGTCCCGTAGAGGAAAGAGCTTGGGGGACTTGAGGAATGGGAAGAGCCTCTGGGTAAGGGGCAGGATGCAGGTGATCGGGGTCAGTGGGGAACCCAGGTGCCAGCAAGTTTGAGGTTTTCCTTAGTGTGCTCAGAAGCCTCTGGAGGGATTTCAGAGAGACACAAGATCTTATTAGCCTTCAGAAAGATCTCTGTGTGGAGAGCTCAACTCTGGGGAGCCTTTTGGGGCAGAGGAGAGACTGTAGAGGGCAAGAATGGAAGAAGGTCGCTAAGGCAGGTGGTTATTTCGGCAAGCCAGGTGAGAAGTGATGCCGTCTTGAATTCAAGACATGGGAAGGGAGACAAGAGGGTTTAGGAGATAAAGAGCTTGCTAAAGGATTGGATGTGGGCTGCAAGAAAATTCAGAGAATCAAAGTGATACTTAGATTTTTGGCGGTGGTTGGGTGGTGGCATTTATTGAGATGGAAAAGACTTAGGTGAAAGGGCTTTTAAACTCTGAGGCCTTATACAAAGGTACTAGGTTAGACAGTTGTGTTATTAGAGTTCTTTTTTCTAAATTTATTTTTTTACTGAAGTATAGTTGAATTACAATGTTGTGTTAATTACTGCTGTACAGCAAAGTGACTCAGTTATACATATATACATTATTTTTCCTATTCTTTTGTATTATGGTTTATCACAGAATATTGAATATAGTTCTCTGTGCTATACAGTAGGACCTTGTTGTCCATCCATTCCATATGTACCAGTTTGCACCTGCTAATCCCAAACTTGCATTCCTACCCTCTCCCACCCTCCTACCCATTGGCAACCACCAGTCTATTCTCTTAGAGTTCTTTTTTAAAAAAATATTTATTTACTGGGCTGTGCTGGGTCTTTAGTTGCAGCACGTGGGCTCCTTAGTTGCAGCATGCATGTGGGATCTAGTTCCCTGACCAGGGATCGAACCTGGGCCCCCTGCATTGGGAGTGCAGAATCTCAACCACTGTGCCACCAGGGAAGTCCCTTGTCCCATTCTTAAGTGATCTATCTATCTATCTATCTATCTATCTATATATATGTTTTAAACCGGGCAGTATGTTAAGTGACTTACATGTGCCATCTCATAAAAATCTTCATAAGAACCCCATGAAGTTGGTGCTATCACCCGGCCCAATTGCACATGAGGAAATGTAGGCTTCTAGGTGCTAAATAACTTGCTCTGGGTCACATCCTGAGTTAGCAGCAGGGCTGGGCTTCAAGTTCATGTGTGGCTCCTGTCCATCTGTGCCTGTGTGCCAGAGGCCATGCCAGGAAACTCTCTTGGACCCTGGTCCTGTCTTGCTCTTTTTTCATAACATTAGACCTACTAGAGTCTAGGGACTAGACAACTGTTTCAGCTTTTTGATCTCGTCCCAGAACGGATGAGAAAGATGTGGGAATTCCCAGGTCCTTTCCTGCTCCCAGCGGAGCAGCTGACCTAGGGATTTCTCCAGTGGAGCAAGGGTGACCTGGAGTCAGGTGGGGCACCAGGTGGGACTATCAGAGGACAGGTTTTAGACTTCACGTCATCACCTTGTGCTTCGTCTGTGGAACAGTTTTTGCAGATGTGTAAAATTAAAAATTTTGAACTCAAACTCAAATTGAAACCCTAAGTCAACTTTTCGTACGGAGGGCCACTTATTTCATGAGTTTTGTCTCTTTATTACGAATCATAATAATGCAAAAGTAAAGCTTGAAGAATGACATTGATTATGTCGTCTCCTGCCAGCTAGTGTTTTCCCTTGCTGCCCTCTTTTTAGTTTTCACCTTGGCGACTGGCTTTCTAATATTTAAAAAGATACTTCCGCTGTTTCTGGAGCAAAAGGCTCACCAGGGCTACAGTCCTCTTCACTGTAACGTGGGCGCCGCTGTGCGGTGCGTGGGCGCCACGTGCGTACTACGTGGGCGCCGCTGTTAGGTGCGTGGGCGCCGCGTGGGCGCCGCGTGCGTGCTGCGTGGGCGCCGCGTGCGTGCTGCGTGGGCCCCGCTGTTTGGTGCGTGGGCGCCGCGTGCGTGCTGCGTGGGCGCCGCTGTGCGGTG